TATCGTCCATCTGATTGGTTATTGTCCGAGATTGAATGTCATGATTGTTAGTGATTTAAGACAATCTGTCATATACACACTGTACATTTTTCGTAATTACCACTACATTGTAGATGATAGTTTACCCAGAAATTAAAATGATCATTTACTCTTTTATAATCATTTATCTTCCTCCATTTGTTTCGAACCGGTTTGAATTTCTTTCTCCTGTTGAACATGAAAGATATTTTGAAGAATGTTGGAATCATGTAGGATGGACACCAATACTGCTACTGGTTTATAACATTCTTTAAAATGTCTTGTTTTCAAGACATTAAACAGAAAAACAAAGCTAAAACTTTGACCATAGCTATGTTTGGTGTTTCGCAGGCTTAATATGTAATGTTTTAAAGTAATATTGTAGCAGCCAAAGACAAGTTTAGATCAATTGTATTAATTTCAATAGATGTGTTAGTTTTTTAGTTTGATGCTCCTCATAATGGACTCTTCAGTGCGTGCAGGTCCATTTATTATATTTATTTGGGTTTGCTTTTTTCAGTTTGGCTTAATAAAGCAGTTTGATCTTCCAACATGAATGTGCGAGTGATTGTACCTCTTTCTCTGGTTTCTTGTACCACACATACTGTTGAGAAGAGAAATATGCATGTTTAAATACAATTAGTTGTTCAGTTTAATTTTAACAAAGTTGCCTAAGCGTGATATCTTCATTATTTGATATTTTTGCTTATCAGATTGACAGGGAGAGGGGAGAGTATGTCCTGATTGTTAAGTCATGTATACATCAAAAAAATTCTGAAAATGCCTAACTTTGGGTATCTGAGAGGACCTACTGTAAAGAGATTTGTTTTTCTCTAAACCTGTCAAGAGAATGTAAAGTAGGAATACGTCAATGTGATCGCTAGCATTGATATCAAGGCTGATCAAGGCTTTTTTTACTGATTGTTATTGGCTGTATGAAGCCATTTAATTTGCACCAGCTGTCATAAGCAGAGAGTGCAATTTATGACAGTCTGCTGTGTGGAAATACACAAGCAGTCCAACAGCACTGTGTAATTTATGCAATGAGAACATTTTGCAAGGTGTTTACAACAGGCCTCTGTTCAATACTACCAGTTTCCAGCCGGAATTTATATAAATGCCTTATTTATTCATTGTAAAGCTACTTCTGTTGTTTAAAAGAATGCTTGGGTAGACATACGACTTCAGTGAATTTAAGTTTTTAATCACATTAATTGTTCTTTTTGAATGTCATGCACAAAGCCTGTCAACAGTTTTAATATACTTTTAGAAATACTTTGTATTGGCATTTCATTATACTTTTTTTTGTTACTTATTTTTATTAGAGAATACATGATTGCATGGAGTACAATACAGTGTAAAAGTTTTTTTTTTTTTTTTGCATCTTGGACCATCAATTACTAGCTAACAAAATGTTTGTAAATACATGTACAGAACAAAAAACATATTTACGACGTATAAAAGAGAGAAAAGAATGATAATAGATCAGACAATTAATAAAACAATAATAATAATTTTTATTAAAAAAAAGGAGAAAGTGGAGAAAGGAAGAAAAAAGTGGCCTTGTTCACCGATACTTCACGAAGTTCTGTATGGCTCATTATTGAAGAATTAAAAGCATGACAGGCGACCATCTCTTTAGGATAATTGTTTTTTGAAGTCATAATGCATATGTTATTTGTTCCTCTTGATACAGTTTTTATCAAGCATTATAGGATGGAGGCTCAGAATTTTGCCATTTGCATGTGATGCACTTCAAAGCTGCAGCAAGTAGGATTTGTAATAAGTAAATTTTTGATCTGCCAGCGGAGCTCACAGGGCATACACCTAGCAAGCAAGTTTTTCTTCAGAAAATTATTATTTTTTTATATATTTCTTTAAGGGCATTTAATACCTCTTTCCAATAGTTACTTAATTTAGGACATGTCCACAGAATATGCGTGTGGTTACCAATAATCTGTCCACAGTTTCTCTAGCGCTTGTTGAGCAGGAAGGGTTGCATTTTTAAATTATATGTGGAGTTCTAAAAAAAATTTGTTATAAATTTCAAATTGAATTCCCTTCAGATATTAGAATTGGTCAAAAAATTTACTTCACTGCAAACTTCCTCCCAGGTTTCCAGAGAAACTGTTCTATTAATTTCAGTCTCCCATTTCTCCTTAATCTGTAAGGTGTTACTTGTAGATAAGAATATAAAGTAACCATTAGAAATGCATTTATTGGTGTCATGTCCAGCTGTTCTATTGTAGAACGGTTTTTAAATCTTTCTAAATCCTTATGTGTTGTAAAGGAAATGTTGGAGTTGTAAGTATCTGAAAAAATCATGTTTTGGGAGAGAAAATTCATTTCCTAATTGTCCAAATGATTTAATGATACATTTTTAACAGTATATAGGTTTTATGTGCTTTTTCAACCTTGGAAGCTCTACATGTGTAATTAAAAAACATATCTGGTTTTGTGATCATGAAAAGCATGAACCAGTGCAGGTTATACAGGTTTTAAAACAATGAGGAGGAGAGATGTTTCATTTTTGGGACCACTGACTTTAAACGCCTACCCTCACGCTTTCTGTAGTGTGAGCATCAGATAATACTTTGTAGTACTTTGTCTGTGTGATTTGTTTTCTATTAGCCGTGCCAAAGCAGCAGCAGCAGGCCATATGTCTTGTGTGTGTGTGCGTGCTCCACCAGAAAGCTAAGTAGGTTGTAACGACTGCCTGAGCTCGTGTAATGTTATACTGAATAAAAGCAAGTGAGTAATTTGCTCGGCATCATTATAATGGTGAGCCTTTAGCCAGTACCACGAGTCTTGTTTTTAATTAAATTTCAGTGGCTAATTTTGTATTTAATGATTCAGATTTTCACAGTTGCATCATATTCGTATCCTCTGATAAATCTGGAATCTTAATACGAGCGCTTTGGTTTAGCAATGTCATAAAAATGGCATTTCTTTTTCAACAAATGAAAAGGGGGGATTATCAGAGCTTGGATTCATGAGGCTTTCATGATCGATTAGAGGGCTTCAGAATATAGCTCCTAGAAAAGATGCCCAGATGAGAGATTATACTGACAGCGGCCAGAGAAGCTGAAGTCCAGGGATCGGGAGGGGAATAGCAGGAGGCAATTAATGCACTCTGACAGGCTTTGTCCTGATATGAAGGATTCTCATTGACATTACTAGACCCCCTCAGGCAGAGGTCGATCACAGCATGGCACAACACACAGTTTAACACTCCACCAGCTGCCATGTTCAGATCCCTCTGGTTCACGATGCACACACAGTACTCTATGGCTCCTATTAACACCCTGTGCAATTACATTATTAACCAGAGTGAGAAGTTAGATAGAGACTTTAGCAGTTCTATATCAGGCCATTTTAAAATGTGCTTAGGCTATATTAATAATAATAAAATTAACTTAGTTGAGGTGTTAAACTGTTGTTACTATTATCAGCATTGTTAGTAAAATTACTGTAAGTATATACAGTTTTTCACATTTTAACTGATTACTAGTAATGATCATCATTAAAATAGGGTTATCTGACAAAAACACACTATGTTACTACATCTTAAAATTATTATGGTCTTTATTTCATATAATTTACAATGGTCTATCCTAATATTAACAATTTAATGGATTACAATAGTATGTACTCTATTATTGTCATGCATCATTACATTAATTGAAACATATGGAGTCAATCTAGGGTCATATATACTTGCGACATATAAAAAAAAAATTACGAACAAAAAAATTAAGTATTGAGCAAGAAAAGTAAAATAATACAAATCTCAAAAAATTGCAAAGGAAAATTAGAGTTTTGAGAAATACAAAAAAATGAAAAGAACTCCAAAAAATGAAGAATTGCAAATAAAAGTAGCGCAATTATTATTATTTTTTTGCAATTTTTTAAAAGTAAACTTTTTACAAAACCCCTCAAGTCAATTGCAATTTGTTGAAATCATCAAACAGTAAAACTCGCAAATCAAAATGCAATATATATTATATAAATATATTTATATAAATATATAAATATATATATATATATAAATATATGATTTTTATTTGCTGTTCTCTTTTTTGTTTGCAAAATTCCTTTTTATTTCTCAAATTTCAATTTTCCCTTTACGATTTTTTGAGACTTGCATTATTTTACAAGTTTTTGCTCAATACTTTTTTTGTTTACATAACTTTATTTAATATTGTAAGTATATATGGTCCTAGATTGACTCCATAGAAACACTGAACACTGAAGGCACCTAAATATTGCTTTTGTTCAAAATATTTATTTATTTAATCATTTTTTTATCAGTTTTATTTAATTAAAATTAATTTAAATGGAATCGAGGGACTTTTGAACTTTTTTGACGTTTATGAAAAATGTTATATTGTAATTAATATCAATTTCACCCACAGTCCAAAGCCATGCGCTATAGGTGAATTAAATAAGCTAAATTGGGCTTAGTGTGTGTGTGTGTGTGTGTGAATGCAAGAGTGTATAGGGGTTTTACAGTATTGGGTTGTAGCTGGAAGGGCATCCGCTGCGTAAAACATATGCTGGATAAGATGGCGGTTCATTCTGCTGTGGCGACACTTGATTAATACATGGGACTATAAGTTGAAAAGAAAATGAATTAATTCATATTAATGAAGTTAGCCTATATCAGTGTTTCTCAACCATGTTCATGGAGGCCCACAAGCTCTGCACATTTTCCATGTCTCCTCAACCAAACACACCTAATTCAGATCATCAGTTCGTTTGGAGAGACTGAAAGAGCTGAATTAATTGTGACAAACAAAGGACACATCCAAAACATGCAGTGTTGGTGGTCCTCCAGGAACGTGGTTGAGAAACACAGCCTTGTATGGTTCTTTGGCCGATAAATGGTTAAGTTCGCATTTGGAATACTGAAAAAAGAAAATGTCTTGTGGCAAGCTGAAAAAAGTGAAAGTAGTAAAAGCAAAATTTTCTCTCATCCTCAGCTTTTTCAAAACCTCAAGAGACTGATGAAACCTCATGGCATTGAGTTCAAGTCTCCTCTGGAGCTGTCAGCACAGGGTGAGTGTTCTGCATGCACACACAGACACACACAACAGACATGACCATACATGTATTCTGACATACACAAGGGTCTTTTAACCAGGGTTCAGTCTAGACACCATAAACAGAATCCTGGGTTGTATTGCCAATAACTTACCCAGAGTCTCAATTATTTATACGCTGACGTTTCACATTCTACATTTATAAGCCCATCTTTGCTTGCATATTTGTGCTGTCACTCTGATTGATTGGATGAACACAGCGAGCAACATGTTTACATAAAGGCTCATTGCACATCATTATATTATATATTGCTAACCTTATTAAAAATGAACACTTTCAATCTTTGAAGGTATGCATGAAAGAGTCTCTTCTTCATTCCAACGGACTGTCACCATTAGACTGTTTTACCTTTAGATAATGGTTTACATGCAATGCATATACTGTATGCATTTCCATTTCTTTTTTTTGATTATTGATTGGGCTGTTAGTTGCTAAGCATCTAGTTAAAATATTGAAGCATGCATCATTTCACATTGTACATGCTTGGCACTGCAGTGCAAGGTTAAACTGTGCAAAAATGATACCTAAACTGCTACAAAGCAGTTTTATAACCCTTAAAACCTTGCTAACAGTGTGAAACACTTATCAATCCACACTGTATTTTTATAAGTGAAAATACACAATGATTCATAAGTGTTTTACGTTTATATACGGATATGAATTGCATTATAAGATCTTGATTTTCTGCTCTGTTGACTTTTGATGCTGAAAGTTCAACTCCACAGTTTAACAAAATTACTTTAATTGACATTTTAGTATTTTGAAATGATATAATTTATAATAAATAAAGTATATAGAAATTAGTCCTGGCACTTAATTACAAGGTTTCTGTGCTGTAATATACAACACCAACCGGGACAATACAGTATATTACTTTAAACCAGGGGTTCTCAAACTGTTTTCTATGAAGGGCCTAAATCTAAACTTGATTGAGAGCTGTGGGCCGAAAGTAAATATAGCAATAGCAATAACTGTATTACATTAAAATTGTTATGGGTAATTTCATGATATTTAAAAAATATATAGAAAAAATTGCAACAGTATTTATTAATGCAATATTTTAATGAACTTATTAAAGTAAAATCATAAAAAATTCCATTTATAAAACAATGGAGTTTAAAACCGAATATGCTAGTCATGCTGAATCTGCCTTTGCCTTGACTTGCATGCTGATGTCTTCTGCTTTGTCCCCTAATCGTTAAGTAACAGTATGTACATTTTCTAAAAATCTGTTTCATTTACAACATTTAATTGAAACATTTAATTTCAGTTTGCTTTTTTGTAGCTCAACAATCACAAAGTTACAATAAAATACAAATGAGAATCTTTGTTAAAGGCATTCCCCAACCCTTCCCAATCATTTTTCTTCTGGTGGGCCAAATCAAAGGATACAAAAGGCCAACTTTGGCCCATGGGCCCTAGTTTGGGGATCACTGCTTTAATCTAAAGTGTTAATAAAAGTCACTTTTTAAAAAAACTTTTAAGGTTAAAAGTTGTTCAAAAAAAGATCAATGTCCCATAATTACAAAAAAATGGAAAACTGCTAATTTATGATTTTGTTTTTCTTACAATGTAATGGTAAAATCAGGGTTTAGCGCAGTGTAAACTACCCTCACCACCACCAAAGAAGAAAATAACATTGAAATACTTTATTTTAGAATGTGCTTGTTTCATTTGTTCCATTAATAATGACTATATATTATGAATAATTGCATGTAACTGACCTTCATTTTAACACTAACAATATAGTAAGTGCATGTAGGTAATTAAGATTATTTTAAGAATGATCAGAGTTACATTCAGGACCACTTACTACCGAAAAGAGAAGTATTGCAGATACAATTGCACTTTGACTTATCAGAAATGGATAAATGGTTATCCTCCACGTACAAATAAAACACCACGAACATATTAAGAATACATATTTGCACTGTATCAAAGGCACCGTGCAATAAAGCAAAATCAAATACTTTCATCTATATTTTGTCAAGCTGAAGTGTTCTGCACAGCAAATCAGGTAGGATAAATAAAAGTTTAAAGTGCCACCTAAACTCTGACCCTAACTCTCATCCATGTCACTGCTATTGATTCAATGATAATTATTCTCCAATTAAAAGCTCATTGTCTTCTCCCACTGTTTCTGTCTCCGCGTTGGACCCAGGAGGGCCACTTGCACGCCTCCCTCCTCTTCCATCTCCTTTTGTCCCCTATGGACTCCACACAGCTTGATTCACACTGTTGAGGATAATTACCGCTGGTTTAAATAGAGAACTGTATTTAAAACACCCACAAACGCTTATAACGGCCTCTTAATGTAGATCCATTTCACCCAGTAGATGGTACACTAGATGTGTGACATGCTACTGGTGATTTAAAGGTCAGATATTTTTAAGCAGACCTAAAAATATTGTGCTTTATAGGATTGAACAATTTTCTGTGAACTTGCGCAATATACTAAGAGGAAGAGGAATACATTTAATAATATAATTTTATAAAATTGGTATATTTTTGTTTTACGTGTACATAAGTAGCTTGAGAATATTCCAATTGAACCACTGAAGGCGTATGTTGTCTGTTTTGACAGTAGAGAGCCTTGCTGTCTATGGAGGATGAGGGAGCTCTCAGATTCACCTAAAATATCTTAAAGGGGTGGTCCACTACGATATTATATTTTAAACTTCAGTTGATGTGTAATGTAGCTGTGTGAACATAAACAGCATCTCTGAATGTAAAATATTCAAAGTTTAATGCAAAGGGAGACCTTGATTTGTACAGAGTTAGCTTAGCAACGCCTACAATTAACGAATTTTGGGGACTACAAAAAATACTTCCGCCCCCTGTGAGATCACAAAAGTTCGTTATTGCGCATCCCACACTGCGCAGGTAAAGGCCGTGGCCAGAGGCGCTGTAACGTTACTGCAGAGAGAGAAATGCCATCCTGCTGTTTCCACAGAGCTGTTCCGTTTCTGTTGTTGGGCTTCCAAATGACACGACCCAAACACAGAAGTGCTTACAGTTCAATATTAATTATGTTCCAGAGAACTATAAAATACATAGCAAGCATGATTTGACAAAACACAGCTTCCAGAATCTCTCCCAGTTCAGTGCTGGATTCAGTTAAAATCTCCTCAAAGATGGAGCAAGGAGACGCTGTGAACTCTGAGTCATGACCTGTAAGTGTTTTTATTTGTTAAAAATTGATCATGACATGTACAGTGTCTAACTTTAACGGTGTGTTGTAGCAAAGATGTAAACAACGGGAAATTATGGTAACCGCTAACGACTTAGCTAACGTTACAAATCCATATTTATCAAACGGCTGTAAACGCACACACACACATACACATACACGCACTCTTGGCCAGCACCTGCGTCTCTCTGTGTGAGACGGCAGAATTTCTCTCTATAGGCAGCTATGCTATGCGTTTTACAACTCGGACAATAAAGTCGCAAAAGATATGTGAACGATTCATGTTACTTACACAGGCATATTCTGCATATGCATGAAAGACGTCCTGTAACGCATTGATTTAAAAAAAATACAGCAATGATTTCCCAACTGGAGTGTAACATCAAAAACAAATCAATCCAGGCTCACAAAGGTCTCATCTCACATCTTGTGTTTTATTCTGTCACCACAGAAAATAACTTAATCCGAGCATGAGAGAAAAAGAACAATAAAAATCTCTCCCGCGCACATGCGCTTCTCGTGTTACAAATACTTCATCGTATACACGCATAAACACACTAAAAGGCACAGAAACAGTTAAAGGAGCCGCATCCCATTTTCACTCGTTACAGACACGTGTTGACTGACTGACTGACTGACTGTTTACACAAAACGCGCGTGCTTGTCAGGGCGTGACGTGAAGCCGATCGGCGTATCACAGCATATTATGATGATGACCAATCAGAGTCACTTGAGGGTGGGCCTTTTAGAGGAACTAGGAAATATGACAGTCGTTTTCATGTTAGCTGAGTAGCTGTGTATAATCAAAGTGAGATTTATGAAAAAATAACACGATTTCCTTCAAGTTAAACATGAGCACACATTGCTTTGCATCTTATTAACACAACCAAGCCTTAAAAATAACATTCTGGACCACCCCTTTAATTTGTGTTCTGAAAATGAATGAATGTCTTAGAACAATATGAGGGTAAGGAATTAATAAAGAACTTTTATTTTTGGACAAATTAACCCTATAAAAAGAATTGGAATAGAGAAAATTATAGGTGCGGGTGGATGATTTGTTTGAAGCAGCAGATTTGCATGACATCCGTGCAATACTAATTCAAAGGGAATTTCATTACCTTGCAGAATCACATTGACTCCTGGATGCACACATTATAGAATACACAATATTGCTTTATTATATACACAGGCTAGGGGGGCATAGTGGCTCGATAGTTAGAATTGTCGCCTCACAGCTAGAAGGTCACTAGTTTGAGTGCTGGCTGGGCCAGTTGGCATTTCTGCATGGAGTTTGCATGTTCTCCACATGTTGGGTTTCCTCGAGGTGCTCCGGTTTCCCTCACGGTAATATATAAATACACATTACATGTCATGTGACCACTGTGTAATCACAGCCTTTGTGGTTTAAAAATCATGCTTTATATTATAATGAAGCATTCAGCTCTAGTGCTCACTCTCTCACTTTCTAATTATTCATTCAATCAATAACTGTTGGACATAAGTATACAGTTCTAAAGAACCTAATGTTATAAGATTGTTTTAATAAAATTTTGATGTGGGACTGCTAAATTAGCAATCTGAAAGACAAGAAAAAAAATTGTTGTCAGGGCAAAGGACAATAAGTGCTGTACCTAGGTTTTAGGGGCTTGTAGTTTGAAGATTTGAAGTTTGTGTACCACAAGCCGGTAGATTCATTGCCAAAATTGATAGAAATATGGGGAATTAATAAGTTATGCTGATACTGAATGATAATAAGTTTCTTTTGAAAGGATGCATTAAAAGTTAAATGAATTTAAGTGAAGTTTAAATATTAACCTATTTCGAGAGGAGCACATGCTTATGATTGTCCACGGCTGGCCCCGCATTAGCTAACACATGATTCAAACGTCACATTCTCCAAAACTGTTCGCCAAGCTTACGATTATGATACAGATTTAGAATCACAAATAAACCTAAACAACAACTGTCTCATAAGTTTTATTTCTAAGCTTCTGAATCAAACAAAATCGGCAAATTTTCAGGTTGCCTGAACTAATGGGCATACTCACTCGAAAGACAAGAGATCACAACACCAACCTCATTTATGGCTGTCTTGCACATTATCATCCTCTGAATAATGCTTCATCTGATCTCGCTGGTTTTCTGAAGGAATTCAAAACTTGGTCGTAATGGCGAATCTCCTCCAGAAATGAAAGTGACTCTTTGTTTATACGTTTGTGGCTGTCTGGGTAATTGCTGTCAGGCTATGTGCGTTTGACAGGATGGAGTGTATGTTGCGTTTGTTTCGTATGTGCTACAAAACCAAAAAACCTTTGTTTTCAACTACACTTTGTTCATTTAAAAGTGCAGATTTCAAGCTTTATGTGGATATATGTCTTATGTTTGTGAAGCAAGTATTCGCAGAGACACCAGTGTGTTTGTTGACCACCAAACTGTCGTAAAAGCACACGTCTGGTCCGAGTTTCTCCCCCAACAATCGTCAGTCTATATCGATCTATAATTGGCTCCTGTACTAGTAGGCGGGGCTTCATTCGTGATATTGACTTTTCCCCATTCAAAACTATACGAGTGACAGGTGTTGTGTAATCTATTGTCCCTGACATAAGTCATTTGACTATACCTTATTGCCACTATATGAGCTCTCAGTAAGCAATATAGCTATCTCTATAATCTGCCGGAGAAGTTCATCGAGATCTATCTGAGCTCAAACTCCCCTCTTGCCCTGTAACGGGAGGGAGCCCAGGGCTCGAGGATCTTATAAGCTCACGGCTCTCTCCTGGGACAGCATGCCAATCAAGCTTTATTATCAATCATTAGCTAAGTGTGAACTCTTAAAATGTTATTTAATTGTAAAAAATAAAGATGACTTTCTCTCTCTCTCTCTCTCTCTCTCTCTCTCTCTCTCTCTCTCTCTCTCTCTCTACCTACCTCTCTCTCTACTTATAGGTAAGGAGATGATCGAGATGTACTTCGACTTTCGCCTGTATCGTTTATGGAAGACCCGCCAACACTCTAAACTTCACGACTACGACGACCTTCTGTGACATTGCGGTGTTGGTTTAAACAGCCCAAGAGGCAGGTAGCTTACTTTAGCGGGCCATTCGGCGACGTACCCTCCAGAGAAGAGCCTGGGCCGAAAAGCCCTGAGGTGAAGGAGGAAGATAAGGTTGAGGAAAACTGAGAAAACGCTGGAATTTCTCCACCCTCTGATGGGAAGCAGCCATTACTGTTAGGTGCTGTGCGTTCACCCCCCATCCATTTGAGCTTTCAGCCTGAAAGAGAAACATTCGCTAGATACCGACAGGTCGTATCTTTTAGCTTGCGTGATGTCTAGAAGATCATGCTTGATTTCTTTGAGAAGCTGCAACAGGAAGAAGGAGGATTTTTGTTTTGTTTTAGTTTTTGTTTAGTATTTTCTAGTAGCTGTTTTTGTGGTTAACTAGCAGGGACAGTGAAAACAAGGCCATACTTAAACAGGCCTTGACGTTCTTATATTATTCTACAAGTGCAGGATCAACTTTGGGACTACATATCTATGTTGTGTGTGTACGTATTCACTTTATCACTATCGAATAGCTACTGTAATTGATCTTTCAGCATATTATCGCGCTGTTTTAGTTAGAGTGTGGTGTGGTTTTGTTTAGGAGTCATAAGAGGGACTATAACTCAGGTTTCGTTTAACTGACATCCCTCTGTGCTTTACCATCTTTAGAGAGAAAGAGAGCGAAAGAGAATTTCTTTGTGTGAAGTTGTTCAGTCCCAATAAATGAGTTACCTAAGTGGATTTGGAATAACTTGATATCTGTATCAGGGACTTTATGTGCGTCTTAGACATCTTTAGATTCATTGTCGAAATGTCCATAAAATGACGTACTGTATGTGTAACATTTAGGCATGTGTAGAAACTGCTCATTTTAGGCAGATTTTGTCTTTCAGCTTCAAAATTTTCAAAACTTTTCTAGCGTCTTAATAATAAAATAAGATTTTAAAACAGATTATGAATAAAAATAGAAATCGTTGGTGATTTTGCGCTCCAATACTGTCATATTTGTGTATTTAACGCTCATATTATGTGTTTCTCTCACAGTTGACTTGACGTCACATAGTTTCGTGGTTATTTATTTGTATGTGGAGGATAACCATTTATCCATTTCTGATAAGTCAAAGTGCAATTGTATCTGCAATACTTCTCTTTTCGGTAGTAAGTGGTCCTGAATGTAACTCTGATCATGTTTTGAGCATCAAGATTAGCTTTTTCATAGTATACAGTATATAGTTCGTTTAGCCTTTAAAGTGGTTCTCTGCGGAGGAAAACGTTCTCTAGTTTATGCGTGGGTGTTTTGGATGCGGCAAACAGATAAAACACTAGGTAGTTGTAATCTTTAATCATCACGAGTGGATGTTCGAGTGCAAAACAGCAGCAGCTGGTGCAATAGATAGTCCAAAGCATTTCATAGAGAGCTGCCAGACGAATAAAAAATGCAATGTGCTTAGTCTTGCTGGTGTAATAAGGGGAAGATGAGAATGCATTGCAAAAATCTGTGATATAGCTATATTTAAAGCATAAAGCTGTTGTGTAAGTTTGCAGAATTACACATATATATCCACGTCTGTATTTGGGAGTGCGTTTTAGGTTTGGAGATGCAGACAGGAGCACTGAGATGTGAAGGATGCATCTGTGTTTGTCTTGTGCTGATCCATCACATCGCTTTTCATCTCTGACCACTCGCCCGAAAAACAAATAAAGCAGTCGGATTGGATTAAAATCAACACTGCTTCTTTACTGATGCTATGATTGCATGTCTTGGTGTGACTTTGTAATTTGCTTTCCGTTTAACCCATATAATTATCTCTGCACTCTCTACCAAAGTCATTGTATGCTATAATGTCATAATAGACTGTAAAATAGATAGATATTAATATATATATATATATATATATATATATATATATATATATATGATCTGTGGGTGAAAAAACGTTGGAAAATGCCATAATAGACTGTAAAATAGGTAGATATTAATATATACAGTTGAAGTCAGAATTATTAGCCCCCCTGTTTATTTTTCTCCCCAATTTCTGTTTAACAGAGAGCAGATTTTTCCAACACATTTATAAACATAATAGTTTTAATAACTCATCTCTAATAACTGATTTATTTTATCTTTGCCATGATGACAGTAAATAATATTTGACTAGATATTTTAAGGCACTCGTTTTCAGCTTAAAGTGACATTTAAAGGCTTAACTAGGTTAATTATGTTAACTAGGCAGGTTAGGGTAATTAGGCAAGTTATTGTATAATGATGGTTTGTTCTGTAGATTATCGGAATATATATATATAGTTTAAGGGGGCTAATAATTTTGACCATAAAACGGCTTTTTAAAAAATTAAAAACTGCTTTTATTCTTGCCTAAATTAAACAAATAAGACTTCCTCCAGAAGAAAAAATATTATCAGACATACTGCAAAAATTTCCTTGCTCTGTTAAATATCTTTTGGGTAATATTTAAAGGGGGGCTAATAATTCTGACTTCAACTGTATATGATCTGTGGGTGAAATAACGTTGCAAATTGCCACAATAGATTGTAAAATAGATAGATATAAATATACATATAAATATGATCTGTGGGTGAAATAACGTTGGATATCTTGTGTTTTATTACTGATTGGGCCGATGGCACCATAAGGAGGATCATGGAGCCATCTGGATTGGTGGGAAGGTCAGGTGTGAAACGTGATGTGTGAAGACCCCCTACTTTCTGCAATAAGATGTTGACTGTGATGCATTAAGGAGTTTCATATATTCATCATCTCGTAGGTTTTAGGAAATGAAAGGAGAGTTCGATTGAAAGAATGCAATGAAAAGCATGTCTCATTCCTCGCAAATACATCCTTGTGCATCTCTCCAAACTGTTTTCTGTAGCAATAGACATCATAACGAGCGGTTTTGTTTTCTAGGACAGCCTGTACTGCTTCTAGACACTGTTGTCTGAATATCTTTGAATGCTGTTTGTGTTTCCAACAGCATTTGTTTTATTTATTTTTTTTACCACAACCACTGGCTTTGCAGCTCGATGAAGAGAGACATGTGGGATATCGCTGAGCTTTGGGTGATAATATTTAAAGGCTTCACTCAGTTTCTGTCTATAGTCTGTACTAATTAATCTTCATACTGATATGAAGCAGTGGAACTAAATGGTCAGTTGCTAATTAAAATTATAATTGGTCAACTTGAATATCTCTGAGATGCATTATGCTTTATATGAAGCCTGTTATGTTGAGAATTTGAGAAATTTCTGCAATATGTTCAGCTGGTTTCTGTTTAATGAAGAGAAAATGGCAAATATGAAACCTATTGTTTTAAAAAAAAATGTATGAACTGTTTCAGCTTTTAAAAGCCGAGTTTTTAGATGATATTAATCTTATCCTGTGTCTCTAAGGTGGCATCCTGCTGTTTACGTGGAATAGATGATTAGAATAAACGCTGCATGATTGACAGCGTCATGATTGCGCTGTTAGACTCTGTGGCTCATGGTGGTTTTAAAAGAAATGTTTGTTTGTTTGTTTGTTTTCGAAGACTTATCACTCTTATTTTCTGCAAGGCCAAGTGGGTGAAATAAATCACTTTGTCAGTAGCAATGATAATACTTTAAATAGCCTATATTACAATCTCTATAAAGTCTTAAAGAGTGATGGCAGTAATCCTGTATGGGTTTTCTTAGTTTGGCTACATCGCCAAATACAGTCTATGACATAATAGTGTTTAGTTCAGATAAATGGTCGATATTTCTTAAGCAAATTTAGCTCTTGTCATTTTTGCTACACTAAATGACCGAGCTTAAGCTCATAGTTTCTATCTCTTTAGCTCAGTATTCTCAGTATTTCCTATGAGATGTTGTATACAGGAAGGTAGTTTGCTGTAAAACTGTTTGTTTTTCCTTGTATGATCACAGCAATGAGCACTGGAAATGTTTCCTATCCTGTTTTACAGTAAAATGTGCCCGGTTTTAAGTGGAATTTTGTCTCGAGTCTTCTTTCATTAATCATTTTAGTCTTGATTTGTATGGTTCTGTATATAATACAGATTGTTTAATGGAGCTTTTGAAAGGAGAATCAATGAGGCAAACATGAGGCTTTCAAACACTGCTAAAAAAAAGTCAATAGGGTCACTATACAGATCAAATCAGTTTAGTGTTGATTTAATTCATCAATTTTGAAGTTCATCTGTTAAATTAATTACATTTGACTCTGCAGTTCTGCAGAAGGCAACAGTCATCATTCTGCTCAATTCAGTTCATTCACAATGTCAACACTACAAATTTGTCAATTCATTCATTCATTTTCTTTTCAGCTTAGTCCCTTTAATCGGGTTGCCACAGCGGAATGAACCACCAATTTATCTAGCATGTGTTTTACACACGGATGCCCTTCCAGCTGCAACCCATTACTGGAAAACACCCACACTTTTATTCACACACATACAGTATAGACAATTTTAGCTTACCCAATTCTACCCATGCCGCATGTCTTTGGACTTTCACCTGAAAGAAACTCACGTCAAAATGGTGAGAACATGCAAACTGCGCCACCGTGATGCCCCAGAAAAACAAATTAAATTCAGCCAAGAACTAGAAACAAAACATCATCCAGCTCAATTCAGTTCAAGTTTTCAGTTTTATAACAGAAATTGTTGTAGTTTTCGTAAATTGCTCTCAGTGGCTACTTTATTAAGTACATCTTGCGAATCGCTAGTATTTTATTACACAGCAGAAAATTGTCCCCATGTAATAGTGCTGAGTAATATCATTGCACCTGCTGCAGCCATGGTACAGCAGCAAAGTTCCTCGATTATTACAGTACATCAGAATGTACATCAAATTCACTGTGTAAAACATATGCTGGATAAGTTGGCGGTTTATTCCCAATGGGGACTCTTGATTATTAGAGACTAAACCGAAAAGAAAATGAATGAATAAATAATTGTGCCACAGCCGTATGTGATTAATAGTTGATTAAGCATGTGAATGCATAAAAGCCTAACAGTAGGCACAGAAGATCCCTACTGGCCCATATAATCTGATAACCACTTATAACATTCAAATCAACTGATAGGTCCTAACTAGCCATATTGACCTAGAAAATAGCAACTTTTAATTTTTCGTCATCTTTGTACACAATGTGACAACAGAAGAGTCGAGTTGTAATATGGAAAATGATTGCGACTTGCTAATGATTTAATCAGATTTAATGATTTATGCTAAGCTAAGCTAAAAGTGCTCCTGCCAGAACCGGAGATCGGCTAAATGGATTAAAAACAATGTTCAACCTAGTGAAAATGGTATAAACTGTTTAACTGTAGTTAGTTTTAAAACGAGCCTGTTTTCTGAAAAAAAAGTGGAATGTTCCTTTAAATTTGAAATTTGAAATTAAACTTGAAATTTTACAGTTACCGTTCCAGCACATCCCATAGGTGTTTTATTGGACTGAGATGTGGAGGACATTTAAGTTTAGTAAACCAGCATGGTTTGAGTTTTGTAATGTGTTTCATTATATTGCTGGAATTAATCAAAACAATGTAGTTATAAAGAGAAGGACATGGTCAGCAATGAAACTCAGGCTGGCTGTGGCATTTAAACGGTGCTTAGTTGGTATAAGTTCCCCAAAGTGTGCCATGAAAAGCCCCACCAAGCCATTACACCACCACCTGCCTGCATCAGGTGAGCTTGTGTGAAGCCTCAGTTTCCTGTCCTCAGTGGGAAAACCAGTGAGAAAAAAAAATGGCTGACATTTACTTGGATTTGTTGTAGTTTTCTTAGTCTGTCCGATCATCTCCAAACACTGTTTATACAATGCAACCCTAAACAAGACGTATAGCTTTGAGAACACACTGTAGAACTAAACTCACGTGCACACAATCACACACGAACACACTCAGATTGAAAGTAGAGCAGGAGTGAACAGTCCATGGGGATCGTAGTCCTTTTCTCAAGAGCAAAAGGGTCTGGTGTGAGCGTGGCTAATAGAAAACTGACTGCGCTGAGATTCCCTGTGGCACAGAACAGAAAGCCTGACACAAAGCCGCCAGGAAAGGTTGCAGTGGGCTTTCATTATTCGAAGGACAAACCGCTGTACAGCGTGAACTAATCTAGAACAACCTCCCCCTGTCTCTTTCCTTTCAGCCTTCTCTCTTTGAGCTTTTCTTTTTGGGTTTTCTGTTACCAATAGTGACCCGAAGAGTAGCAGAGGCCACTCTCCCAAATCTCTTGACATAATCACAGATTGCACTGTTTAATTGGTGCTGCAGCGCTGGAGTCGAGAAACTGATGGTCTCAAGGGACTTTTTGTTCATTAAAAATAATGAGTCAGACAAGCTCATCAGCACCCCAAAAGCATTCTGGGATCTAATCGAAAAATATAAGCATAGATATATAATTACTAACATTATCAACAGCACAACCAAAAAGCCGTACAGAAATTAGGGGGAGAGAAGTGATTTGAACAACTTTTACATTAAATTAATTCATCTATTTGTTTTTGCAGTCCAGCAGTTTGATTGTGTGAGGCGGTGGAGGAGGACGGGAGAGCGGTGTGATCGTTTTCCAACCAACACAAACACCGTACTGCCTGCCAGACAGAAACGAAATGCATTCACTGGGACTTATTCTCATTTGACTCACATTTACCAGGAACACAATACAATCGTGGAATGTGTTTTTCCACTTAGTCTGTCTTTTCATTACACAAAAAACTGTGTAAAACCCAAATACCTACCAGGAATCTGCAATGCATTACATCTGCTGAAACGTATTTCATCCCCCACTGCTTTCATGCAGCTATTGATCATGATAGAAAATGAGTCTGAATATTAAAATGTCTGATATTGTGTGGCAATACATCAAGCACTGATACTCTATAGAATTTTCTGAAAATCTAGGTCAGTAATAATCAACTCTCATTTTCTGATTTACTTCCTGAGCCTAAATTTGTAATGAAATTTGTTGTTACTCTTTAAATTAGGATGGCCAAACTAAAATGCAATTGGAAAAATATTAATAAAGCTGCATTCATGTATATTACCACAAAGTAGAAAAAAAACATTGCAGAAAAAATTGAGCCTAAAAAGCGGGGGTGTCTAAACTCTGTCCTGGAGGGCTGGTGTCCTACATATTTTAGTTCCAACCCCAAATAAACACACCTGAACCAGCTACTTAAGCTTTTTACTAGAAACTGCAGGTGTATTGAAGCAAGTTGGAGCTAAACTATGCAGGACACCGGCCCTCCAGGACCGAGTTTGGACTACCCTGCTATAAAGTTTTGGGTCACACTTTATTTTGATGGTCTCTTTGTTGAATTTAAGTTGTATTGCAACTAATTCTCATTAGATTAGAAGTAGACTGTTAGGTTGGGGTTAGTATAAGTTAACATGTGCTTTCAAAGTTTCTTATAGTCCATAAATGTCTGTTGAAGGAGCAGTATCAACAGATATTAAGCAGACAGTCTACTAATACTCAAATGAACCATCAAAATAGTGTTACCAAGTTTTGGTATTATGTACTAAATGCCAGAAACAACCTTCATAAAAGAGGTATTGATGAACAGATAATTGAATATTGTACCATTTGGATGGTTGAACACTGTAAAAAAATGCAGAGTGCCACACAGTTTCTTCATGTTGTCTCAACACAAAACAGTTACTTAGTTGTTTTTACAAATTTAAGTTGATTGAACGTAAAACAATGAAGCTATTCAACAAAACCCTCAAGAATCGTGTTGATTTAGTTCATTATAAGTAGGAAGTTTGAACAAACAGCCAAAAAAACTTCAGTGAAGCATGTTGCATAAAGGGGTGGTGCAGTAGATAGAGCTGTCACATCACAGCAAGAAGGTCGCTGATTCGAGCCACGGCTGGGTCAGTTGGCATTTCTGTCTGGAGTTTGCATGTTCTCCCTGTGTTCGCATGGGTTTCCTCTGGGTGCTCCAGTTTCTTCCAGAAGTCCAAAGACATGTTGTTAGTAGTGTACAGTGGGAGACACTTTAAAATGAGCATTACCGCTGTGCCTTGTACTGCCGCCGATCTTAAGGAGTATGAACGTGTTTTTAGGTATGACCGCAGTTTGTGACTGCCACTAGGGCACACAAAGGGAAGCCAACGGACAGAAATAGCCCATACAGTAGCTGTAAATACTCTGCTACTTGTAAATAAAGATAAACAATGAAACAAAGCATTATAATTCCTTAATCATTAAAAACTTGTAAACAAGCTTTATTATCACAAACATAAATACAAATAGGCATAAATAAACGAACAAACAAATAAATAAACAAAGCCGTGTTTTAGCCTAAATATAGAGAGATGTACAGTATTTGTTGTTTTAAAGTGATAGGACTAAAACAGTCAATAAACAAGCTTTTTCATTTACGTTTTAGTTTACAGTTTTAATTTACAATTCTGTTGTTGGTTATATATTACTGTCTCATTTTACCATCTCATTGTGTGTGAATGAGTGTGTATGGATGTTTCCCAGTACTGGGTTGCAGCTGGAATGGCATCCGCTGTGTAAAACATATGCTGGAGAAGTTGGCGGTTCATTCCGCTGTGTCATCCCCAGAATAATAAAGTGACTAAGCTGAAAAGAAAATAAATGAATGAATGTTGTATAATAAAAACAATAATGAATGAATTCATGTTGAAATGGTATTAATAATGAAACAGGCAATAACAACAATAATAAAGTCTCATCTTCGAGCCAATGTGATGCTATTTCACAATCTAATTGGCTTTATTTGAACAGAATGTGAAGGATGATGTCTCTGAAAGGTGATTTCAACGTTTAAACACTGCACGGTGTGCACTGTGAGGTCTAGGGCAAAGATAATACTTCATGAAAATGGCTCAGCAGGAACAGCGAGCATTAGATTAATGAATCGCTCTGCTCTTATTGCTGCTATATTTTTCTTGTTATCAACTCCTATCAACCATTTCAAGTACTGGCTTTGACAGGTACGGTCCTGTGCTCAGATCAAGAAGCTTTAAGATGAACCTTTTCTTGCCTGAATTTTTCCACAGCACTAGAGAATGCCTACACAGTAAGGGTTAAACCGAAAGTCTGGTCTTTAGCCTGCCTACATCATCTGTTTGCTGCATTTAAAGGTTAATTGGATTTAACTACAAATTCAAAGCGTGAAGATCATCCAAAGCTGCAGATGCATGAGGAGTGTACACCAAGGGCAGCTTTAAGTTTTGCAGGGTTGTGGCATTGACAAGCTGCAGTGCAGTGAACTGTAACCTATTGCACCAAAAGCTCCAATAAGAAATGAAAAGGCTTCATAACTTTTCCTGCTGCATATAACACTCATTGCTCCACTTTCACACACAGCTGAGAGAGGCAACATTGCATCATCTATTTCCAGTTGGGTTATTAGGCGTGACTGGCTGGAGCATCTTGGTGTCTGAAGTGATTAGAGGAGTGTGTGCTGATGGCAGTAGGTGCATTGGCCCAGTGCATCAATCATGATTATGTGGAAGAAGGGACTGTTCCACCCGCGTTGCTTCACTGAGTCATAATAACAACCCCATGATGCCAAATGTGATTGTAGGAGCTGATGTAGAAAAACTCTACTGAGGTTATGTGTATTGCTGTTATGCAATATTTTCACATTACATAACCACGTGAACCTTAATGTACGTATGAATAAAACTGACAAATATTTCCTGTGCATGTTATTTTCCAACCAAAGTATAGCTGTACTATGAAAATGTTTATCTTGAACTGCTATGGAAACTAGCATGTGAAAATCAATAAATCCATTAAAAAAAAAGATTTGATTCTGAAAATTGCCTTGTAAAATGTTTATTTTTCTCATGCTCTTGTGTGTAGGTTCAGCAATATTACTTTATTATGATTATTGGGTTCTTTTCATTGCCTTTAAAGTGAAATAACTAAACACAGATATACAGTATAACAGCAAAAATGCTATTTTATCCAGAAGAAAAAAATCAGACTACACTTAAAGCTTTTGCATTTAAACTCTTCAAATTATATCTGTATGATATTAAGCTGTGGCCATACCGGACCCATAAATGGATTTAAAAATGAATGTCTGACTGATTAAAGGTGCAATGAAGCACCCAGTGAAGTTTATATTATACACCATGATGCCAAATGTGATTGTAGAAGCTGATGTAGCTATAGAAAAAACGCCTCTGAGATCATCTGTGTATTGCTGTTATGCAACATTTTGTTTCACATGACATCACCATGTGAGAATGTTTGTACAAAATGAATAAAACTATTAAACTAAATAAATATTTGCTGTGCAGGTTACTTGTCAACCAAACTAAACGAGCTGTGCAAGCTAATGTGGTAATGAATATGTTTCTCTTGAACTGCTATGGAAACTAGCATGTGTAAGCAATCAGTTAAAAAAGGGATTTGGTTCTGAAAATGTTTCTGTAAAAACTTTTTTTTTCTTAAGCTTTGGCGTGTATGTACAGTAATATTTAATGAATTTATTGTGATTATTGGGTTCTTTTCATTGCCTTTAAAGTGAAATAACAGAACAAATATACAGTAGCAGCAATTTTTTTTTCAAGAAAAAATTCAGACGACACCTATAGGCGTTTGCATTTAAACTCTTCAAACGTAGGCTATATTTGTATGATATTATGCTGTGCCCACACGGAACCCATAAGTGGATTCGAAAATGAATGGCTGATTGATTAAGCCAGGAACCAACATTACAAATGGCTGGCCTTTCATATAAAAGCCTGTGCCATTATGTTGTCAATCTGCAATACTTAAATAACAGACAATACTAAATGTGCATTGCTGATTATTACCTTTCATTCGTTTAAATTAGTGCTTTGTTTAGTTTGTTTAAATAAATTTGATTGAACATATTTCATGTAATACACACATATTAAAACACAAATTGGCGTTTGTACATTATCAACAACATGTTTTAGCATTACATAGTGAAACTCAATCAACAACAAGGTTGTGAGCTCCAGTCAGTCTGACTCTAAATATATGCTGTAAAAAGATAACATATGCCTGAGGTGAAGGGTTTCATCTTATTTTTGTTTTAAATAAATTCTGCTTCATTTGCTTTTAAATAGTGCTGAAAGCCTGCTGTTGTAATAAAGCATCCACACACACCTGTCTTTCTAGTTAAATTGCACATCTTGTAGCCTATTTTAATATTATTTTACTATAGAGGTATCGGTTTCTTTTTGATAGGTGTTTGTGTGGGCATTTTATATGTTTACTCCAGCATGCAAGATGCGAGTCTGTCGAAGCATTCAAAGCGGCAGACCCGCAGTTTTATAAACCAGCTGTAGCTACGGCCACAGAACCGGAAGTGGGGGTGGGACTAATTAGGAATGGCGGACACCACGTTGGCGCGGCTGTTTGATGGTGAGTTGCTAAAGTTTTTTCTATCTCATGTCGAATAATTATTGTTTAAATTAGTTTACGCGTTTATCTACTTTATACTTAAACTGTGGTTCACGTTATTATCTTAATTAAGTCTTAATTTGTTGCCATACGTTACTTTGTAGAATGTTTTTCTGTGGATATTTGGATTACTTGCATTGCGTGAGAGGCCTCGCGGTTAAAATTTTAAATATTCATAAATATTGATCATTTCTTCTAGTCTCCTCGAACAGTTTTTGTTAATCATATTTGTTTGTACAACATACCAAATGATTGTTAAAAAAAAAACTAAATTAACCACGAAGGGCCCAAACAATTCATCTTTAACTTTAACTGACAATCGGCAAAAGCTGTTGCTAGTTAAAAAACATTACTTTTCAATGTGCTTTTTTTTTGTTGCATAATGTAGAATAATGTATTGCCTTAGTGATGACAAAAGAGGATCTTGCTCACAGATCAAAATTATAAGGCTGACAATCAATCTAGAGTTTGGGCCTACATCTTTTCACTAACATTAAAACATAAAAGCCAAAGCAAGCAATAAATATGTGCTACATGATATAGAAATGCAATATAAAAAAGATAGAGGTTAACTTGGTTTGTGTTTTACCTTAAATTTTGCGAACCAGGATTGTAAAATTTTTACTGAGTAATGTTATTGATGTTAGGAATAGCGTTTTTATACTACAACTGTTATTTGTTTTAGAATTTTAAATCAAAATAATAGTATTAATGAATCTTTATGCTTGTTTCAAATTAGGTTTAAAATCAATTTCTTAAATTTCAAAATCTCCCCTAAAATTTCCTAATCCTAGAGAGGGTTTAGAAACCATGGAAACACCAAAGGAGCGTGCACTTTGCATTCATTTGCACAAAAATTATGCTGGGCTGTCAATTGTATACTAATTACAAGAAAAAAGAAATTTGTACTTCAGTTCAAGCTTGTACTAACATACTGACTTGTATGTTCTTATGACATTACATGCTGCCATCATTGTAGTCTTCCTGTGTAGGTGTATAACCTAAAGTATTCAATGTATACTGATGCAAACAATTTGCTTGCTAACAGCTAAAACTATCATTTCAAAAATAGTGACATTTCTATATTGTTCCCCACAGACTTCTTTTTATAAACTGACAATGATGTGCAGGCTGCTGTCACACTCTCCTTTTCGGTTTACAGACTCCAGATCTGTCACAGAGACACAGTGTTATTTCTTAGGACATCTGTGTCGATGTTTGTTGGGGTGCAGTGACATTTAATGCACGACATTCCAAAATAATCCCAGCTTTAACTTTAGTATTTTATTTTAAATGCCATTTGAGATGTTTGCACAGAAGCAAATTGTTTTGCCTTTGTTGTTGCTTTACTAAAGGGGATTACACAGCAAGTGGTGTAGTTAACCTAGTTAGACCTTAGAAATATCAAATATCAAGCTTCAGAACCATGCCCCCTTAGGTTTCCTTATTGATCAGTAACGTCTAGGGGTGTAACGATACACTCAGCTCACGATACGATGTGTATCACGATATAATGTTCACGATTCGATATGTATCACGATATTAGGAATAAAAATTGAAAATTAAACTGAAATGCAAATTTTACCAAGTAAACTATTTTTTATGTATTTCTTTTATTTCAACTTGTTAAACTTAACCTTCTTTAAGAAAATAAATTAAACAGGCCTGTCTCTGGAAAATAAAACAATTAAAAAACTTCTTAAAAATATTATTGAAATGACAGAGACAAAATTAAGGAACAATTTAAGTAAAAGTGCAAAAAAATAAGCTTTCTATTCAATTGAATTTAACAGTAAGAGCTTAAGGCTTTGCTTGGTCACTTGTGTTTTTTCTGTGTGCAAAAAAAATCCACATTTCCAGGTATTTAATTCATATTTAATTCAATTCATTTAGAGATATCTCTAATTACAATTGTGACTAGTCAACTCATTTAGAGATATCTGCAAATATTTTTCAATGGAAGTCAATGGAGGAATATGACTAGTCATAATATATTTGCAGATATCTCCAATCTGATTTCGTACAAGTACAATTGTAATTGCAGATATCTCTAATTGTCATTCTGACAAGTCTAATTATAATTATGACTAGTCAAAATATAATTAGAGATATCTCTAAATATATTTATGGATAGTCAGAACAAAGGTTTAAATGCTAAAACGGCTTGCCATACGCGCGCCTCTCTCAAAGTCCGCCCTCTGTAGTAATAGCTCACGTCATGTGTGATTTTTGAGGCGGGAACATTATATGAAGACAGAATGATATTTTAGGGTGAATTGTACCTTATAAATACAGTATGTGACTCTTTCAACACCATTAGGAGGCATCCCTGTCACTGTGCAAAGTATGTAAATCACTGTGAAGACTTTAAAACTTAGGATGTTTGACCTAGTATGCGTGTCAAAAAGCGGGTCTAAAGCAATCACTGTACAACCGAAATGTTGCCAGACGTCTGATTTTGAGAGGATGGGTCATCCTCTATTTCAACTCCACTCATCTTGGTCTGCTAACATTACTGCTGCTGCAACTCACGTGCGACAGCAGGTGGAACGTAGCTCACGTGCAAACAGCTCAACTAATAAGAGAAAACGAACGTCATATCGTAATCAAATCGTCATAACGCCACGATGCATATTGTGACATTTTTGCATCGCAATAAATCGTACAACGATAAATCGTTACACCCCTAGTAACGTCCTAATGTGAAGTGAATCTGTTCAAAGTAGAGCTGCATGATATTGGAAAAATATGACATTGCGATATTTTCTTTTCCTGTGACATATATTGTGGTATGAATTTTCTAAGATGATTTGAATAACTATTTGGAAAGCTTCATTAATTTAGATCGATTCTGATGATCAAGTTTTAAATTAATAAACAAGCAAAAATAAATTACAAGCAAAAATACATAAATAAACAGTGCTTTATGGTTTTCTGGAAAGTCTAACCATATTCAATTATACAGAAATTGAACAATCAAATGTAAAATAACATCGTTATCATTGTATTTTTTCATTGTACAATTTTTTTTAAAATATCTAATTTTTAACAATGTTCGTTGTTTTAATCTTTAATAAATAATCTAATCCTGCGATGTGATTAAAACCGAAATACACATTGCGATATCGATGCTTAAACAATATATTGTTCAGCCTTAGTTTAAAGTTATCGTAATAAGGAAAAAAAAACTCCTAAATGTGAGTTATATTTCCATACCTTTATGCAACACTTCAAAATGCAGATTAAAACAGGTTTATAAATGGAAACAATGATTATGATTAATTGGACATCAGTAATCAAATTGTTTGCCTTGATCTGAATATGAGTTGTTTTTTGGATGTTCTTTTCATGTTCCCGTTTTACATGTTATAGCACATAATTCGATCAATGTCATTGTGTCACCATACCATGCTGTCCACGTTTTCTGTATTTCATTCATGCTCCCTGTGAAAAACGAGATATTGAATGTAAGAAACTGTTGGAAGATTGTTGTTTTAATGGAATTTGATACCACACACCGTATTAGACAAAAACCTCTGAATTTTGCGATGCAGGTGTCTGTGGTCCTTTACTGACTTGGTAGGTGCAGATAAGAGTGTCAAACAGCCTTGTGTATAGACTATCCTGTTGCAAAATGTGGTAAAAATCCTACACGAAGGTAATAGTTTGATTAAGGTGTACTGCACTTCAATAATGTGACTAAAATGTGATTTCTGTTTAGTTTGATTATGATTTTAGTCGGATTAAGGTCATCAAAAATCACTGTTTACATGATAGACTCTTAATCAGAGTATTGTATTAATCATATTAAATCGGATTATTGGTGTCCACATAAATGTAGTTATTGACTGTATTTTCAACACCAGCTGATGCTATCAGGCTACTGATTGGCCTAATTTAGCTAATCAGACTGCAGTAATGTCTTTCAGTTTGGAGAGGCTGTCTTATCTGTCTGCATGCCATCTCTACACCAAAATGTACTCAGCAGCACGTCAAATTCCCCTGAGTGTTACTTCGAATGTCTCCAAAAACCCCTTTTGTATGCATGCTTTGGTCAAACTGTTATGCATTACACGAATGCTAGATCTACAATATTAATTGACACGTTCACTCCAAAAATATCTTTCCAGGGCCTGCTGCTCACTTGAGGTGAAAACACATGTTGACATGACTATATTAATGGCTGAGAGCTGCTGTATTAAAGCACACCTGTGGCATCACAACGACACGTTACGTAAGTGACATTTGAACATTTGAATAACACTGTTTACTATTGTGTTCCTGCAGCACATGCACTTGTTTTCCACCACATTCAGCATGTTGAGTAAGACGTTTGTTGACGTGGCCCCGTGCTAATACACGTGTATGTGCTTAACAGAGATGGGACGTCATGCCCTGGCCAGCATCGTGCAGCGCAGCGTTCAGGTTTATTGTGTGTGCTCGACTCAGCAGGAGCAGCGTGTCTCTCCGCATCAGATCAGGAGCGAGTGTGAGCGTTTCTGACAGAGTGCTAGCAACTGCTGAGGGCGCTTTATTGCTGAGACTGGCTGTTATGGGTGTCACTAATGCTGACTGTCCAAGATGAAAGTTTGCTAAAACTTTCCATTTAAGTGGCAGATAACTTTTTGGCAGAAGTCTGAGTTTTATCTAATATTTATAAACAGAACATTTCAAAGAAGTTCATTATTACAAGTTTTGGTAATTGTGGATGAAAACAAATTAACTTGTGTAAATTACAAACTTGATGCACTTTTAGCCACTTGCACAATAAACAGTTAAAAAGGATCATGGTGGGTCATGGCATTTAAAAGAAAAAGACTATTCCAGTCATTGAAAATCAGGAAATGTTTTTTTTTTTGTCCAAGTTATGAAATATCAGGGATTTTTGTTTGTCGTTGTGCATTTATTAACAACATGTCTTGTTTTCTATACTGTTTTTTTTTTTCATTGTTTGATGTGCTTTGCCTATGGTTAGCTGTTCTCTGCATAAATCTCGCAACATTTATTCTTTCCCTTTTTGTCAACTAGATGCCACTTAAGTCAAATGCAGTCTTCTGTCAACATGCAGTCACCTATTAAAATACTGGCTGTGGCTGATTTTTGTCTGCTCAGTTCTGAACACAAAAGCTGCCCTATCTTCTGTTGATTATAGGTTAAGGAAATTCAGTTTTTCAGAAAATGTCAGGGAATTTAACATTTGGCTTTAAGTAGGAAACTTGTATACATTTGAATCACTATTTATATTTACTAACTGTAACTTAAAATCTTTAAACTTTGCATCTATCCTTCAAACCACTATAGGCTTTTTTTGTTTGTGAGCCAAATGTTTTTTAATCATTCTGAATGTCAGAATTTAATTGTAATATTTTAGTTTAATTAGCAATTCCCACTGTTATCTAATTGCATATGATCAGCTTATTTTTACGACATTGGCTATTTATTAGTACTTCTAAGCTATGATCTTATTCTACATTCCTAATCCTGTTTAATATCCAAACCCAACTACTACCCCACTAAATATTATTAATCTGCAAGATAGTGTTTTATTGAACAAAAAGACATAGTTAACGGTTTTTTAATAGTGGGAATTGTCCTAAAATAAAGTGTGACAAGTAATATTTGGTGTTAACACTTATTCTTTCATATTTTAGTCCTGATAATAACATGCATATTGGTTAATTTTTACATATAATCTCTTATGCTGAATAAAGATAAAACATTATTTCACCCACTCTTTGACCAAATTTATTTCTAACTCTACTGTTAATACTTCATACATTTATTTACTCTTTCTTTCAAATAATTTTTTTTATTATTATTAACTTGATGGATGAAAATGTACCGAATAATAGGTCTCAACTTTCACCTATATACTGCAATAATGGTTTCCATACTAAAGATTGTTTTGAGTTCATTGATCTTTAAAATATATTAACCTAAAACAGTTGCTACAAAAATATATTACTTTCACAGTGTTACAGTTTGTACAGTAAACCATAAAATACTTTTACTAACCAACCCCAAACATATAAACAGTAGTGAACAGTACATGCTTTGTGTTATTCCAATAAAATCATAAATGGGCTTTTAATATAACAATTAAACACATCTGTGTGTATAATGTTTACTGCTTCATAATGTAAAATTACACCTGAAAGAGTCTCGTAGTGTAACCTTTAAAAAATAAATTTGTGGCTGAAAGCATTAGTCATATTTGTGATTTTCTAGTGACAGGCGCTCTTCTGAATGTCAGGTTGAGAGGGTGTCCTGCTGTTCTTGACCCAGACGTGACCTGTCAAAAGTGGTATAAGTTTGTGCCTGTCTATACGAATGGAAATCCATTATATGTCCAGACAACGTGCCCCTTCTCAAAGGGTACACTTACTCTCTTTCAATCTGACTGCAAATTTAGTTTCTCATTTTTTTATTAAAAGATATTTCATTATTTGTCTGCTGGACCTCTGTAGTCTTATTTAGTCTGTCACATCTGTTCTGTACTGTATCATAGTGCTATTTTTTTATATAGATAGTGGGTGAAGTGACCGGCTTTAAAGTGCTATAGAGAGAGGTATTTACAGTGGTTGATGTCTAATTTGTGCACTCAAAAAATAATCAAAATAAAAAAGTGCTACTTGTTCAAAATAAGCTTAGAAAACACAAATCTTGATTAATGTTCGACAATTTATAGGTATTGTGTTCAGTACTTAAATTGAAGTTATAGTCATTTTGTCTTGAGATTGTATTAATATTTTTTTCTTTGTATAACTAAAACTGGTTAGTGGATTGGTAGTTTGCAGAATGATTTATATTTTTCTATTAGACAGGATTTTTTTTTACTTTATTCTACATTTGTTTTGAGGATTTAGAGGAGATTAAGTTAATGTTTTGACTTGGTTTCCACTGTTCTGAAGAGTGGAACTTATTCTTATGATGTAGGCTTTATTGCCAACAATAATGTTTGTTTGCTTCAACTTATGCCAGTTCTAAAATCTGATTGGGTCTCTTTTTTACTTGCCCATAAAAAACATTATCAAAGTAGTTGCTACATTTGAACAGAAATAGTTAAAGCATTATCGTTGTTCAAATTATGATTTATTTATTCAAAAAAGAATGAACTATGTTAATTTCACACAATATTTCAATTGACAGTGATTTTGATCTCATTTCTTTAAATCAAAATTTGCTCTTGTATTACATTTGACAATTTTAGGTTTAAATGCCATCATTTTTATGGAAAAAATTGTGTCATAATTATATCAAAAGAATAGTTCGTCCAAATATACAAATGTAATCGCCATTGAATCATTCTCAGTTTTATTTGTTGAAAACCATCATTTACATCCATATAGGTTGGGGGGAATACTAAGGCAGTTGATGGCCCCCGGTTTTTTAATTCCTCAGAAATATTTTTTTGTTGTTGTTGAAGAAAGAATCTCCACCAGGTTTGAATCAAGAGGGTGAGTAGGTGATGACAGTTTTAATATTCAGGTAAACTATCACTTTGTTTGATTGCTTATTTTGTTTATGTTTTTGTTGTCTACATTTGTGAACTGTGGTTTTCAATTAGCTGAAGGAGCCCAATTTAAATCCTCATGGGCAATGTCATAAGGAGATAGAAGACAGATGTTCACATCTGTAACTGCAGATTTAATTTCTTGCCACAAGTGGCTATAATGACAGCGCCCGAGCTGAACTGTCAAAAACAGTGCTTTAATTAGCAGAAAGGAACAGAGCTAGATTTTTAGCAGAGTGCCATAAAATCTATATAGGGGCACTATTAAATTATGACAGTGACAGTAGTTATTTAATAGAAACCTAGTGGAAAAAATGTCTTGGTTTTCTGCCGAAAGGTCGCCGCACTGTATTGTAAAGACTTTCTAAAAGGATGTGTGGAGCTGTGCTCTTTACTGGCGGAGCTTCCTTCACCATTTGCTTGGTGAGATGTTGTTTCATTGCAGAGAGGACTGTGAGGTTTTGGTGGAATTTGGTATTTTTTTTCAGAGATTTTACTTGTGTGTGTGTGTGTGTGTGTGTGTGTGTGTGTGTGTGTGTGTGTGTGTGTGTGTGTGTGTGTGTGTGAGTGTGAGTGTGAGAGTGAGTGAGAGTGAGTGAGTGATGTTACTCCGGGTAATCCCTCATCGATATCTGAGTTGCTTTCTGATGACTGTTCACTCTGCATATTAGAATGCATTCATTCAGTCAGTCATGCGTCTGATGAAGTAGTCCTTGACCTTTCTCATTCTTTCTCTTTTAATCTAGCTCAGGGTTTTTTCCATTTTCCTTGAAGCATGATCCAGGGACATACAATTCATTCAACACAACATGTGAGTTCAGAATGAGTTCAGGCACTGGTTAATTAAAGACCCTGTCAATGGTGTTATTTTCTCATTTCCTTTTATATATCATGTACACGCACCAGGGGGCTGCTATCAATATGCAGGGTATTGAAATTCCCTTTTGAATGCTTGCTTGCCTATTTTTCTTTTGAAAGTAACTGTGTACAGGCACTGGCAATTCTGACAGCTGATATTTTGCATACATTATTCTTTCTTCATTTGCTATGAAGATAAAGATTTGTATTTACAATTCTTATAAATGTGTTGTACTGCATATATACATAAACATATACAGTACAACACATTTATAAGAATTGTAAATACAAATCTTTATTATGGATGCCATTAATCATAAATAATCCTTTGACAGCACTAATAAAATAAACAAACATACAGTCTTTAAGGCCATGATAATCTACAGCAACCCCATTGCCAGGGAAGTTCAGGTAGTTCGAAAGACCCATCCAACACTGACCGGTCCAAAATTTGTCCCAAACATGAGCTTATTTATCTTATTTTGACTGATATGCTATTATAAATTGTGTAAATAACCCAACAAAGAAGGCTTCCAACGCAAACAATTATTTTCCACGAGTCATACTCTTAAAAACATACAATCTGAAATCAGTGAAGTCATCTTTCACCACAAGTAACTTGTATTCTAAATGGACCCTATTCTTGAAAGAAATACCAATAAAAATGTGTATAGCACCAAAAGGGGCCATATCAAAGTTAATTTTAATACTGATTAGGGATTATACTGTTGTTAATCATGAAATTTCAAATGTACTTTTTTTTTTACGAGAAACTAGAAAAATTGATGCCCTACATTATTATTATTATTATTGCTATTATTGTTTTTTTTTATATTCAAATGTGCTGGCCAGTTCCTTGTTTGCTCAATAAATGGCATTAGGCTATACTTTTTTTTCTATTGATATTTGATGTAATGAATAAAAGTAAGATTAATTTTAATTTATTCCATATTTAGGAAATATTTTTGGTTCATCAAAAAGTGTTATGACGACCACCCCACACGCTAATTCATTTAAAAGTAGTGTTTACGCCTCATAATTAAATAGAAAATGAGGTGAATAACAGCAAAAAGATTCGCTTTGTGAGAGAAAAGAACCATCCTTTTTATTGTGCTTGCTACGGGCCTGTATTGTAACCTGTGAATGGGTGAACACATTTAGTTCCGTTAACACTAACTGCCACAGAAAGCCTGTACATTGTCATCTAAAAACATATTTTAAGCCTCCTGAATCTTGGCAAGTTGACTTTCTTTGATTGTTGAGGTTTACATCTGCTGTGATTCCATAATTCTGCTTGACATCAATCTACATCTCTGTTCACATAAGCAACCTCTTTCAACAAAACTTTTAGTATTATCAAAACTTTACATAGAACTGTGGCTTTACATTGCTTTAAGGTTCCTGATAAATTGAATTGAATTTATTATATTCATTGATTAACTGTTTCACAAAGATTACACTTGTGTCTGTGATGTGTTTGTAGTATTTACATGTGTACACCATGCAAGAGCAGAAATTTCGCAAGCAGGTAATGTCCTGTGATCTCGCAAAGCAGAAATTCACCGTTGTGAGTGTTGTTATCTGTATGATACAGTTGTGAGCACTCGCATAGCAGCTGTGGAAAGGCTGTAGACAATAACATGAATATCAATTCCTTGCATACAGAATTTAAATCCTTCAATTATTAATATAATTAATAAAATACAAAGACACATGCTTAAAGGCACAATACAATGGCTGCTAATTGAAATT